TGTGTGTGTGTGTTTGTGTGTGTGTGTGTGTCACACACACAGACACGGGGTTCCCTTCAGCCATAGCCTGATTATATAAGAAACGCCTGACACCTTCTGAGAAGTTCTTCATGGATTCATTATTAAATATCAAAAGGGAGGCAATATACAAAATTATTATGTTTTAGACAATAGTATACCTTCACCCTCTGCCATTGAAAAGGACATAGCATGCATGGTATACCTCAGTTCTCCTAAACCTGTGAAGTATAATGCTAGAAACAGGCCCCAGGTTTTCCTTGTTAGAAAGTTACCTATGCAAATAGCAACAGCAGATCAAAAGAGAGCTTAGATTTTGCATCAAAGGAGAAAATAATAATTTTACTAGATTGCTGAATATGGTTTTGGGGTACAATTTTTTTTACATTTAGTGTTATTGTTCAGCTGAATATTTTAATGTTAGTGTTGCCATTAGTTTTTATCTTGTTAATAATGGTTTTAAAATATATTATTATTGTAACTATTCATATGCTGAAAGAGTTTTTCTTTCTTTCTTTTTTTACTCTAAAGGCCATCCTCAAAAATGCAAGGAAATTTGAAGTGAAGCTGTAGAACTAAAAGTCCTGGGACTGTTAAAAAGTATCAGGTGGAAAATAAAGGCAGTGCAGGAAAGTAGTATTTATTTATAGTATGCTGTCATTGCTGAAAATATCCAGCAGTCATCTTATCTGGGGGGGGGGGGAAATTAGCATTTGGGTGATTTTTAACTATTTTGCTGTTGGATGAAAACATTAACTTTTTCAAATCTATATGATAAATTCATTTTATTTGCAGTCACTCTGCTGAGATTCCCTTCATTATCTAGACCTCATTTAGAGGATCAGATCTAGGGAAGATATATTTGAATGCAAGCCAGATGAAAGAGATCTCTCTCTGTTATGCAGGGAATCTGTAGCTGCCAAGAGCTCTCCATAGTGCTACCTCCTTTTATGGACAATGAGCCAAGGCAGCAGTATCAAGGAGAGTCCTTGAAGCACGTGGGCACACACACACACACACACACACACACGCCTAGAAACTATGCTTCAGAATCAGCTCTATACATTAATGCAGCTTTAGCACTCATACTGGGATGACAGGTGCACTGAAGTATATGCTGCAAACAACAGACAACTAGCAGAACTTCAGAGCTCTACTACCTTCTTTTCATGAACCTGCAAACAAAAGAAAAACACACATACACCAAGCATGAAAAGCTGTACAATGTCTGAGGCTTGCTTGGATTTGTGACTTTGCTACTTGGCTTCTGAAAAGTCTTCTAAAATCAAAGAGTTTAATACAGTCAAATTACTTAATTTCAAGAGCCAGACCCCATATAAAGGAATCACACTGCTTTCACATTTTTTTCACTGTATGAATACCGGCATATCCTGCAAGATATATCCTACATATCCAAAAGATAGCAAGGATATGTAGGATACAGCAAGGATGAAAGATCTATAAATGCCACTGAAACTAGCATGTTTAAATATAGATGGAACTACTTATGTGAATGTGATTATTTAATGTTATTTAATTTAATAAATTTAATTTTGAACACTTCATAAAATATCCAATAAGCCAAAGGCTTTTAGTCTAAGAACTAACATCATACATGCTAAACTACATAAAAGCTTAAATAAGTGTATCTTAAAGTCAAGTACGTGCATGAAAATATGAATTTACACCCTGTACAAAAGTATGCCGACAACATACACTCTGCATAAAGTATGCCAAGGCAGTTTGCAGTTATTTTATACATACCGCACGCACGAATTCGACCTACACACATCTCTGAACGAAATCCAATACATCTCTTTACTGATCCAGATACACGCAGACACAATGAACACACTGCGTCACAGATGCTTGAGAATGTGCGCGCGCACACAGATTTGTACATTCACATGTATTTCATGGGCACACGTAAGCCCAACTAGCGCTGGAGTGTTTACCTACATCCGCGCATAGGTGACCTTTAAAGAACCGGCGATCTCATCTTCGCCGTCGTGAATCTAAGAGCAAACCTCCGGTTTCCAAGAGGCAAGGCGCGCCCGTTATGTTTACAATCATTTACTTCTCGAGGGTGGCGCCCGCCCACCCATCTGCAAGCACGCAAGCACACACAGGCTGTGCCCAAGGGACGCCGCACCGCAGTCAGCGGGTGGGCGCGCGTCTGCCTGCCTGCCCGCTCACCCTTGCGCCGTCGCTCCTTGTCCGCCTGGCTGGCGCTGCCGTCTCGCTCCCCTGCTCTGCAGCTTGCAGCTGCCGGTGCCCATCCCGCCTGCAGGCTGCAAGGGCGCGCCGCAACCCCTCCACCGGCCCAGCCGCCGTTGGCGTCGCAGGCGCCCCACTCCCTCCCAATCCTGTAGCACCATCCCGCTCCCGGGCTTTCCTACCTGCGGTCCAGGATGTCGGGCCTGCGGGCCGCGCTCCCGCCGCCCGCGACACTGAGCAGGCGAAAGAGCAAGAGAGAAACGACCAGCGGCCCCTCCCCGCTCTCTTATTTCGCCGGCCTGGGGCGGGGATTGGAGTTGGCGTGGCAAGGCAGAGAGCCGCTCCTCCTGCCGTTGCTGCTGTCCCGCCCACCGGTACCTCCGTTAGGGCCTTCCTTATTTCCTGGCCTGGCTCAAAGCATGGGAAACGTGGAGCGTTTAGGCTTGTTTTTGCCTTCTCCTAATGGCGCCTTTCTCCCCCATCCGACCCGCTCCCTTGGCAGCCGCTGTTGCCTTTCGCGCGTTTTTGTTCAATCAGACCTGATGGAACTTGTGAGGTCATAAAGGAGGAAAAGAAGGTTCCGGGCATTTGAAAGACGAACCTTTTTTTCTTCCTATCGCAATCCAAGACCTGTTTAGTGGGAAATAAACCCCGTGGTTCTTTTTCGTTGTACACGTATAGGCCTTCGCGAGGGTATAAGCTTTGTTTCTTTAGTTCATGAAATCTGGGACTATAATAAGGCTGACAAGGTGTTATAAAATCCATTTGCCTCAGCAGGTAGTAGCGCCTGGCTGGCCCTGGCCTTAAACAGTTAGTACTTGGATGGAAACTTAAAGACTAGGGAACACCAGGACTGGTGGGCTTCGCTGGGAAGTTGAAAATATCCTGGAAGAAGAGAGGGCAGGCCTCTTCTGTCCTATTGTCAAGAAAACTGTCTGGACATGTCAATAAAGTCATCAGGGTTCAAATTCGACTATTCCATTCCTTCCTTTTTTCTTGAACTGGAAGTTGACACACTTTTGAAGGTCCAATATTGAAGGAATCACTTTCATTTTTTATCTCTTTATTTTATTGTTCCTCAAGCCATCATAAATGGTCCTTGTAGCAAGGTGAGCCCTGAATGCTTTGGGTTTCCCATCAGTCTTACTCTTTTTACTGGCCAGGTTTCAACTAAATATTCCTGTACCTTCCTAATGCAACCATTTCCTTCCTGGGGAGACCTCCATCATCTGTTGTTGCTATGAATTTCCTTGTAAAGGAGGAAACATCTCCCTTGTTTTGTTTTGTTTTGAAACAAATAAACCCTGAAATGTTGGCTAGGCTGGTGACACAGTTCTGAAGGAACTGGCTATTGGTCAGTGAATAGAAATATTTTCAATTTCAAACAACTGATGAGTTATCCAAATGTTTTTACAGACAAATTTAAACCATAAAGGAAACATATCATACGTAAGGAACTATATCTTAATGTGTTTGTTTAAATTCAGGCCCTTCACTGAGTAAAGTCTTCTAAAGACTAGTTGATGATTAAATTTCTCAGTAGTCCAGAGTTCACCTTGCTTTACTTGTCTCCTTTTCAGCTTCACTGGTTTAGCCAACAGCCCTTTCTCAGAAATTTTCTCCGTTTCTGTCTCCAAAAAATATTTTTTACCCCTCAGTGGTTGCTGGTGGCTTCAGTTCTCATTTCATTTAATCGTCACAACATATGAGGTAGCTTAGGCTGATAGCAACTAGCCCTAAAGCTACTTAATTCATACGTTTCATAGATTTGTGAGCATTTCAACAGGGGACTCTCCCAATTCTTTTTTGGGATACAGATTTAAAGTTAGTGTATCATTTAATGTTGCAAGGCTTTGTGCACAAAGTTCTTAAAAAAAAAATATTAAGAATTTTAATTACAATAGTAAAAACTAATACAAACTAAGTTTAAAGAAAGAGAAGAGAAAGAAAGAATTAAAAGTGCAGGAAAAGAAGAAAAAGAAGAAAGAGGAAAGATATAAAGAAGTTACTTCCAACCTTCATCACAGGTATAAACAAATAACTCTTCACCCCAATAAGGTTAAACAGATATCTCTTCATCCCATATCCCATCCCTTATCTATAAGCTAATCCATAAAACATCAATTTTACAATCTTGGTGTCAGCAAAAAGTCCATAAAGGGTTGCCAGAACATTGCAAAAAAAGTTTTATTTTAACCTTGATCAAATAAATCAACTTTATATTCCTTCCTTTTACTCCTAACAGTTTTAATCTTTATTTCATTCAGTCAAGGGTTGTCATAGGATTTGATTTCTCCCATTGCACAGATTTCTTCAAGGCTTTAAAAAGTCTCTTGTAGATCCAGTAAGAAAACATTTTCCAGGTTTATCATTTATATTTCCCTTTTAATGTTTAAAACTTCAGCCAGTTTCTTTTGTATATCCAGTCCAAATCATTCTCTTGGCCTGTCATCTGTAGCTCCACATTCTGTGCTTCATCTTATCAGATAAAATTTGTTCCACATCTATCATTCCTTCATTAACATCTTTTAGACATAGTCTATCCATAGAAGCAGACATCATTACTGACAGTGTTGATATTGTAGTTACTAATCTCTGGCTCCATTTTTCAAAGATCTCCTTTAATATTTCCCATGTTATAACATTTTGTATCATTCTGTAAGTCCCAGTATTAACTGACATCATGCTTGTATTTTTTTTTCTTTTGCTTAAAATCTTTAGTCCCCTCTAGTGTCCAGTTTCTAAAACCTTCACTTATCTGTTGTTATAACTTGTAATTGCCAAGATAACCAAAGTAAGTCTATTTCCCACTAGAAGTTGTTTATTTTTTATAGATAATTCTAAAATCTTATAGTAAAAGTCAACATTCCAATTTTATCTGGACTCTTAGTCCATTTATAACTTTCTTAAATCAAAATCTTATTTAGCTTTTTGCTGTTTATTTCAAATTCTTCAAGTTCTTAAA